TTATTTGAGAGAGACTGTGTGTGCACCAGCGAGGGGGAGGGGCAGAGGGAAAGGGAGAGAGAATCCTCAAGCAGACTCCCCGCTGAGCATGGAGCCCGCTGCGTGGCTCGATCCCAGGACCCTGAGATCATGACCTGAGTCAAACATTCAACTGACTGAGCCACCCAGGTGCCCCAAAACTCCCTCCTTTTAAAGGGCTCCTGTGATTAGGTCAGGCACACCTGGATAATCTGTCTCAAGGTCAACTCATCTGGGACTTTAATTACATCTGTAAAATCCCTTTACAGCAGGACCTAGATTAGCATTTGGTTGAATAATGAGGAGAATGTGTGTGTACACCAGAGCTGGGAATCTGACGGGGCCATCTTGGATTTTGTCCAGCGCATGCACCTCCTTCTAAGGAAACTGTAAAGCCCAAGTTAGCAAGTTTATGTGACGTACCTGGGGCAGATCAAGCATGTTTCAGGTAGGGGGTTTGCATGCAAGTAATTAGCCAGTTGAGTTCCCAGGACTGATGAGAACTTCGCACGGTGAAAGGAGAGTGTTGGGGGTTGGGAACAAGGGAACAGCTGACTGACGTCCTCCGGTGCTTGGCCGAGGGACTTGATTTTGATATACTTGGACATAGGAAATGCCTGTCCTCCTTGGACGAACACCCCTGAGATCCTCCCTGATTTCAGTCTTGTCTGCCGTAATGGTGGTAAAGACCGGGCTCTGGAATGAGGGAGAAGGGACCCGAAAATGGCCTCTGGATCAGCCCTCTCAGAAACCATCTGTTTGGAGTTTGTGGCCCTGAGAAGACAGGAGAGATTTCCTCCAGCTACAAGCCCAGGGACACAAACCGCTAAGATAATAGCTCTTCCCAAATCAGTCAAACAAAGCTCTAATTGGAAAAGAGAAATGGAAGTCAGGATTCCTACTCCCTCTGCTAACCACACACAGGTCTGGTCGAGGTCCATTTGCAGACCGAAGGAAGCCATTTCCTTTCTTAGCCTGGCATCACTGGCAGAAGAATCAGACAAGGGGCCGAGGGCCTGGTGACTCTGGGAGAAAGGCAAGTGGCCACCATCCAGAAGGAAGAATCTGGACATTTAGCTGCTTGGCGAGTTGAACCGCCTGCTCCGGATCAATGCATGCTCCACATGGTCTGGGGCCGGCTGGAGACCAGCAAGAAAGAGACAATGAGGCGCAAGTGAGGGGAGAGACAGAGGGTGTGAGAATAAAGAGAATGTATTTTTCATTCCCAGATGCCATGGTGGGAAGAAGCGTTGCCTTCAAAACCCCCTAGACCAGACAGTTCTCATTTCCAGCTGACTTCTTTTTCATCTCCCCTGGCTCCTTCTCCCCTCCCCTCCCCCAGCCCGCCGCCCCTCCTCTATCTGCCTCGCCTGCTGGATCTTCTCAAAGCTTCCCTGGAAAAACTTGAGCCAATTTACTCCCCTTAAACAACTGTCACCTTTGAAAAGCTGCCCAGGCTCTTTGCTGTGATTTTCAAAGGGAAACTCGGGGCTAGGCTTGCTTTCGGTGACAGCAAGTAGGTAGGAGGAGAAGACAGGTGCTTCCTGTCGCTGGGCTGGTGGGAAAAACACAGATACACACATCCACGCTTCTGAGAAATGCTGACACTGTAATTGTAGGAAAATACAACCTTCCCGATACCTGAGGGAACGTCAAGAAGGAAAAGCAGAGAGTAGGGAACTTGGATTTGTGTGGTGGCTGCTGGAATTTCGACACCGGGGGGGAGGGCCCTGTTTGACCTTGCCTGTCAAGACCAGAGGGTTACAGAGGAGCCAACCGAAGCTATGTGGGCAAAGGGCCGGGCCAAGCTGGCTACTTCTGACATGTCAAAGGACAGATGTTGTCTGGCTTGGGCAGCTTGTGGGCAGAGAAGAAACCCAGCCCACGAACCCAGGAAGCCCGGCCTCTAGGAGGTAGAGGATAGCAGCAAGGTGAGCAGTTATCTGTGTGCCAGGTAAGCCCTGCCTTCCGCTGTTACTTTGAAAAAGGAGAAGCCTTCGTCTGGCTGGTTGGTTTATGGCCTTGAAGTCGTGCAGACTACATCCCCTTGCTCCTTGCCCTCTCTCTGCTTTTCACTATTCAAGACAGGTGCCAAATATGTCATCAGGCCTGATGGAGCCTGGCGTTGGCTCGCTCGCTGTGATCAGCGACCAACGACCTGACAGAAACACTTTCCCTGATTGCATTTTTAACTCGGATTGTGCCACACTTAGTTACATTTTGAGGGAGGAAGGAGAGGGCAGGAGGGAAAAACAGGGGGTTGAGGAAGTTTGCAGAATGCCTGAGTGTCAGATAGCACGAGGGAGTCCACCCGGCACACGATATATCTTTGGCATTTCAACTTCACCAAATATTGACATCGAATTAACAAAGATTGATTGAAAACCTAAAACATTCAAAATGATGTATAAGCTCCATCTTCCACTAAAATAAAAAAGGAATGTGCTGGGGGGAGAAACAGGTCATTACCTACCTTTTATTGGTAATGAGCTCACGTTGGAGAAAGATACCTTCCAAGTTCATACCATTACTTATTAGCGTGGTGGTTAAAAAAAAAAAAATTATTCAGACTAATGATCTCTGCCGGGCAAAGGGTGAAGAATGCTGATTTGGCTTTAGCTTATCTCACTACCTGAAACTGTCCTGGTGTGGCAGATGGCTTGCTGCTACAATTATTTTGGATAGCAGTTAATGTTAGGTAATTATTGGCATGGTGGCATCCATATAGGTCTATAAATCTCTAGTTTTTAAATATTGGCAGGGTTGTGGCTGCAAACAAGGAGGGCTTGTCCGTGCAAGAGATACACAATTGTAAGGTCATTCACTGTTTCTTCCTCTGCTGTCTGTTCTAATTATTTGCTTGCACAGAACTCTGGAGCCTTCCCTGGCCCAGAGTAGCCACAGAAGCCCGTAACAGCAGGTGTGCGGGCTTCCTCAACACTCCCATGTGCTTCGTATTCGTCAGGGCACTAGCTGGCTTCAGGTAATGAGTGACTCTCTCTGACAACAGAACTCTGAGCGTGATTCAGATTCACACTGGCTACTGAGTCTTCCACGTTCCATTTTTAACCTGACATAAATAATAGCACATAGGCTTATTAGTATCATCCCACTGATGTTTACCATACAGGTCGGGGGAAGGTAGGTGTTCTCTGTGTCTGAGGTCAAGTTTCAACCCTCGAGAGTGCAGCTTCCTCTCCTGTTAACAGCCCACAAACCTCACTTGAGATCTCAGGGTATTAAAAGGAAGAGGAAAATAAATATCACAACTGTCACACTCAACCAACCACACAAAACTACCCTGTTAGCTCCGAAAACAGCAAGGTTAGCAGCCCCCATTGGTCGGTCCTCTGTTAAATGACCAAAATCATTTCTGGCCAGGAAATGTGTTTTTGTGACACATGACGGTGTGGAGGTCAAGCTCAAAATCGATTGTGGGACACGTTGGTGAGAAAGATTTTTTGCTTTTCTGCCAAAATATTGCCCTGGACTTTCCTTCAAGATCCGAAGGAACATAAAGAAGTGCAAAGCCACAGAATACATGAATGCTGATCTACGATTACAAAAGCAAGCGACTTTGCTCACAGTCCCCTCATTCTCGAATCTTCTACAGATGTGTAGACAATTTTTCTAAGGGCAAAATTTCCTAGACCATTGATCCCGATGCCCACGTTATTGATGAAATCAAGGTAATGCTGAACATGACAGTGTCTGAGAAGCAATCTCAAACTGCCTTTTTATTACACACAATTAGCAATGAAATGGAGAACCACCTCCTTTCTAATATAAAGTCATCAGCCACAGAGCTGCAATCAAAATTCACCACAGCGATTTCAGCCAATAGCTCTCCATTTCGTCCCTTTCTGCTTTCTGAACGTCCTCCCTCCCTCCCTCCCTCCCTCCCTCCCTCAAGCCACAGCCAGTCTTAGCACTACAGAATAATGAGCAAACAGTTAAACTGGGCTAGCACTGAGCTTCTACCGAGATTTATGGCCTACCCGTCCTCGGCAGGGACTATAAAACCCTCCCATGACATCTCACTTTGAAATCTCTTGTATTAAGAAGAGTAATGGGTGTGGTGCAAAAATGAACTCTAGGTGTGAGTGATATTTAGACAAGTCTGTACTTCAAAACAGAGGTTCTAGCTCATGTGAAGGTCTCTGTCGTTAGCCGGGGATCTCAGTATTGACTATTCCTCCCTCTCCAAACCACCCCCCTTCCCGCCCTTTTACAAATACATCTTCTTAATTGAATCCTAAATAGGTTTGGGCTCCCCCCCCAACATTTTGCTTTGGATTTTTAAAAATTCCCAGGCAGATTTTTATCTCCTCTGTGAAAGCATCAAGCCGCAGATCCAAATCAGCCCAAATTACCCCAATGCTAAAACCACCTTCAAGTTAGAGCACTAGCCAGAGGGACAAGCCACGTTTTAAATAGAACAGGTCGGTGACCAGGTCAGGGAACTAAACCGTTTACTTTCTGCCCCAGCTGACCTCTTGTGATCTCTGACCTGGGCAGAGGAATAAGTTAAGAGAATGAGCTGGGTTTTCAGGGAGTAGCATTGCTTTCTGGAAGGCACCCAGGTCTAAAGCTAAGTGCGGAACGCGAAGCAGCTCCGGAGTCGCTCTATTTGGGAACCTATTCTGGAACGCCCAAGTCCTGCAGCGGCTTCCCACATCAGGACAAGGAGAAAGAGGGGGACAAGGGCCCAGGGGACAGAAGCGGGGCTACGGAGTGTACAAAGCTCAAGGCGAGAGGCTAAGAGCCTTTCTTTGCTGTGCCGCTGAAGCACAGAAACTTTTTCTCCCACTGAGATGCACTCGGGGCTGAACTCTGCCGTCCGCCCACAGCTGGTGGGGTCCGGGCAGGGAACGCCCGCCGCGCAGCGGGCCGAGCCGCGAGCGCCGGGCGGGGGCGGCGGCCGGGGGCGGCGGGGCTGGGCGGAGCGCGCGCGGTGGGCGCCTGGCGCCCGGGGTCCTCACCTGTTCCAGCGGGCCACCTTCCTCCGGTAGTACCGCAGCGCCTCCTGGCTGGCCAGGAGCGAGTCCTCGGGCCCGAGGAGCGGTGGCTCCTCCGGGACGCGGTACAGCGGGTGGACGAAGAGGGCCTGCAGCTTGGAGCCGCGGCCGCCGTGCCGCTCAGTGCCGGGCCCCGCTCGGGAAAAGTTGCGCGCCGCCGCGCGGGGGGCCGGGGAGGCGGCGGCGGAGTCCGGCGCGGGGGACGAGGCGCGGCGGGCGCACGGGCAGCCCCGCGGGTGCTCCCGGGACCGCAGCTGGCGCCGCACCTGGGGCCAGAGGTGGAAGTAGAGGTCGGCGGACAGCAGCGCGCCCAGCAGCAGCAGAGTCAGCAGGCGGTCCCGGCGCAGCCCCGGCATGGCCCCGCCGGGGCGCGCGGGCGTCTCCGGGGACCCGCGGCGGGCGCTGGGCGCCGAGGGCTGGCCGGGGTGCTCACCGCGCGGGATCGCCCTCCCTCCCCTTGGAGGGGTGTCGCCCCTGAACTTGGGGACCCGCGGCGCTGGCGGGCGTCCCTACTCCGCGCGGAGTGGAGACCAGGGGATGGTGCCTCCGGGCCCCTGTCTCCGGCACCTTCTCTCCCCGCGCCGTCCGCCCGGGAGCCCGCGGCAGGGAAGGGCCGGGGTGAGGCGGGGGGGTGGGGTCGCGGGTGCCTGCTGCCGCCCGCGGGCGGAAGGGCGGCGGGGCCGGGGGCGACGGCGAGCGGGAGCGCGGGATGCGGGCGGCGGCGCTCGCCTCCGGGCGGGGGAAGGCGGCTGCGGAGCCTGGGGCGTCTCTCCAGAGGATGCTGTCGCTGGGCGGGCTGCGGCGACTGTTCCCCGCGGCTCCGTCTGCGGGTGGCGGGGACGCCCGTGCCCCCGGCTGCTCGGGGCGAGCTCGTCTGCGCGCCCGACTCCTAGAGGCAGAGGTGACGCCGGGCCTCCCCCGCCTGGCCCCGCGCCCGCCCCTCCGCCCCTCCGCCCCCTCGCAGCTGGCACCTGCCTCTGGCGCAAGCTCGCCAGCCAACTCCCGGTGCCTCTGCCGGCTCTGCCCTTGCACCTTGTCCCCCAGCCCGCCTCTCGCGCCCATCCCCCCTCGCCCCAGGCCTCCCACTGTCCCTGCTCGCGGCGCAGTCCAGGCACTTTCGGGGACTCAGGGTGTGTGTGTGTGTGTGTGTGTGTGTGTGTGTGCGCGCGCGCGCGCGCAACCTTTTATTTTCATTTTCCTTTTTCAGAAAAAAGACAATCCCCCGAAAGTCTTTCTTTAAGATTTGTCAGGTGTGTGTGTGTGTGTGTGTGTGTGTTGTCTTTTCCCTCTTCCTATCTTCCTCCAGGGCACACACGAGGTCCACAACAACTGCATGTCCCGTGCCTGGCACCTAGTAGGCACTCAGGAAACACCCACTTAAGGAATAAAAAAGTTTGTTCTTTAAAAATAAGGCACCAATTTTACCTAGAATCTTGGTGATTTCCTGTTTGGATGGAGTTTGATTCCAACTGTGCCTGCCCTTTACAAAGAGGAAATTTCTCCTGTACTCAAGGAGGGAGGGGCCTCCCGATGACCCCACTCTGAACTTTTTTGCATTTAGCTTGGTGTGAAAGTGGTCCACCCAAATGAATCACTGGAGGACACACGTTAGACTTTCTTCTGATAGCTTGTGAAGTAATTTATACTCCCCCACCTCATTTCCCTTTTGAAGAAGAGGGAGGGGAAGGGGAAGGCCAGGCCTGGACTCCTGGCTCCTCCATTTAATGGGGGAGGGTGGAATTGAAGTGCAAGTCTGACCAGAGAGGCAGCCCCACTGTGCTGAATGTTCAGGAAAATGCATCTTTGCCATGAGCTGCCTGTCCAGACATGGAAGCTTCCCATGTATGTTAATCCTACTCTTTAACCGCCTCCTTCTCTTGCTGGAGTCAGGAATCCTCAGACACACTTTGGCTTGTGGGTTCAGATCAGAGTTTTTTTCCCCCTGTGGTTCAGTGGGAGATTCTTGTGCTCTTTCCCATCCCCCTCATCTATAACTGAAGATAATAATAGGACCTACCCGGTAGGGTTACTGTGTGCTTGGAACAGCCCCCAGCATGTGGTAAGTAAGTATGATATATGTGTTTGCTAGAAATATTGTGACTTCTCGGTTCCTGTGGCACACTGGGTTAGGTTAGATACTATTTATGAGCGGGACAAGAGTGATAAAGTATGGGAAAGGAGGATGTCGGACAGGGACTATTTTCAGGAGCACATCAGGGCCTAAAAGCTCAGTCCAAGTGAGAAATCTCAAGATGATACTCTTGCCACCTGCTTCCCTCTGCTGGGTATGGTGGTGGGCGTTTGTCGATCTTGTTGAATGATCTCCTTCTTTTTATCTGGAATGAACTCTTAACTGGTCCCGTTTCTGAGAAACGTTGCAACTCCTGATGCGTCTGATTAGGCATCATGGCCAGGGGATGAAGAAGTCAGGCACTGACCGGGGCCACATCTGCACTCTGTGGCAAGTTGGTGTGCATTTTTCTGGGTTGGCAAAGGACATGGGTATGAGGCCATTCCCCGTCCTACGACTCCAGTTCTCCCCTATTCATGGGGTCATGCTCCCTTAATAGACTCTGTTGTCTGGCCTCAGCTCAGGGAACAGTATTTCTAATTTGATTAGAGATTATCTAAGCACGTTTCCCCTGCCCTATCAAGGTCAAGGACAAAACTCCCCGTAGAAGTCAGATGTTAAGTGTGAATGAGGTTGGGGAGGGAGAGGGGGTATCCTCGGGGCAGGACTGGCCAGTCAGATGCAGATGCCCTCAACATCCTCTTCCCCCTCTCAGAAATGGGCTTTGCACTTCTGCTCCTGCTCCGACTCTCCCCGTCTTGGCCCCCGGCTTCCTCATCTACATCCCTTCAATCCACATCCAAGTTATCCCCAACTGATGTTTACCAGAGCCTGACATTCTGGGTCAAGCCTCCCATTGTAAATCCTTCCCTGCCTTTCCGTTCCCACGGCTCTTGAATGCAGTCAGGGTCTCCTCATTTCTTGCTTAGACTCTCGCAAATAGGCTCCTAACTGGTCTCTCAGCTTCCAGTATGGCCCTATTGCAGTGTCCACCTGTGTGATGATAGAATCAAAACTTTTGCCAGAGTGAGCTTTCTAGCATGCAGATACAACAATGATGTCCTGTTGAAAGGCCCGCATGGCTTCTCATTGCGTCTGGGTTAGGCTACTCACTGTGATGTGGCTCTTCGTGGTTTGGCTTCTGTCTCCCCTTCCTGCTTCATCTCTCAGCTCTCCTATGCCCTTCAGGTTTCACCCCATAATACTTTTTGCAGTTCCCCAAGTGCTTCATGCTCTGGTAGACATGGCTTTATTCAAAGGCTCTTTTGCATTTCCCCACCTGGAGAATGTCTTTTGTCTGCCCAAGCTGTGACCCCTTGTCCCACTTTCTCAGATGCTTTCCTTCATGCCTGTTAAGCTCAGTGCCATGTGCTTTCATCTACCCACATAGCTTTTTGCATACACTCCGATTAAAGCATTGACCAGGTTGTGTTTAGCTGTTTGTATGAGTTAGAGATTGAGTTATACCCCCACCCCACCCCTGCCAATTTATATGTTGAAATCCTAATCCTAACCCTTAATACCTCAGAATGTAATCTTATGTGGAAATAGGGTCATTGCAGATGTCGGTAGTTAAGATGAGGTCGTACTGGAACAGAGTGGCCCCTTAATCCAATATAAATGGTGTCCCAATAAAGAAGGGAAATTTGGGCATGGAACTATGCACACCGGGGGATCTCCATGTGACGATGAGGGCAGAGATCAGAATCATGCTTCTTACAAGCCAAGGAACCCTAGAAATGGCCCGCAAACCACCAGAAACTAGGTAAGAAGCAAGCAGCTGATTCTCCCTCATAGTGCTTGGTAGAGATTATCCCCGTCAACATCTTGATCTCAGACTTGTGGCCTCCAGAACCATGAGACAACACACTCCTGTTTTTTAAACCCCCAGTTTGTGATCCTTGTGACAGGAGCTCTAGACACTAACACGGTACTCATGTCTGTCTTCCTCACTCAAGTGCAGAGGGAGAGTGTTACTTATCTCTGGGCCCGAAGCTCTGAAGACAGGGCCTGTCACTTGCAGGAGAAGTTTGAGCTCAGTGAATGCGGGGAAATCTTTGAGGGCAGGGATCTCAAATTCGTCTCTGAAACTGTAGAGTATCACAAAAAGCCTGGTACATGGAAGGGGCTTCACTATGGGTGACATTAAAATGGCATAGTTTTAGGCCCTGTAAGAGACACAGAAGAAGTATCAGACATGGCTCCTGCTTTCAAGCATCTTTTATGATTATTAGAGAAAAGAGATCTGTCTATACCTACAAGACAATAGAGAGAACGTCTGAGGCAGTATGCTGGCCAGATCAGAGAATCCGTGCCTCTGCATGCATTAAGGGATCAAATGCAAAGAGCACTTGCGTTTCCTTTCAGTCTAGCTAAACATCAAGCTCTTTACTTCCAGGAATTAAACCATAAGAACAACAGAGTCAATATTTAAACATAAGGGTTCCTTAATCTGTGAAGGTTATACTCTGTTTTTATCTTGCACATGTCTGCATGTTGCTTAAAACACAACTAGTTGTTTGTTGTTTGTGTGGTTGGTTTTCCATGCTGGACTCTAACTCTTGAGTACAGGGCTAGCACACTTTCTTCTTTTTCCTGCTTCTATAGGATCTCGTGCATAGCAAGGCATCCAGCTGAGAATGAACACATTCCTATGGGATCAGTGCTGTTTGTGTATGTGGGTCTAGGTGTGTTCATGTATGGGGGGATGATTATGAAGTGTATTTAAAGTAAAAATCTGGATTTATAAAATCTGCCCCTAGATAAATGTTAGCTGTTATATTTAATTGGAATATCTAAGTTTTAGGAATCTTAATGGACCTATTGAAAGGGCAATAGGTAAGAGACATATAATAAACTCTGTGCTAACTGCAGTTATCTGTGTCTTTAAGAGTTGTTGTTACCATACAGATGTGTGAGGGCTGTGTTACTGTTAACTTCTAGCTGTCTCAGCCTACTCCTGAAAGAGGAGGAAGGCAGCTCAAGTACTGTGAATGGCGGATCCTGAATCCAGTGAGATTTAGAAATGCTTTGGTGTCATACCCAGTCTCTTCTTCTATTCTGAGCTAGAAAGAACAGAACTTTCTTTTCATGACCAAGACATAATGCTTCAGTCTAGGCCAGACATTTCTCCCGGTGCAGCCTATGCATCAGAATCACCTGGGGTGTATACAAAAATGCAAATTCTCAGAGCCACACGCTAGATCTAGTGAATCAAAATCTTTGGAAGTAAAAAAAAAAAAACTTTGGAAGTAGGCCCAGGAATGTGCAATTTTGATAAGCTGATTCTTAACAGCTTATAAATTTCTGTGCACCC